GGAACATCAGTCCTGTCGTCTTGAAGGGTTGTGAAGGCCGGTGTGTTTGCCAGGTGTAAAAGGAGGGAAGAGAATCAGATCCAAGATCCCCTGGGGAAGGAGGAGTGTTTTGGCTTATTTAGCTTCTTTGCCTTTGGCTGGATCTGATTTTCAAAATATCATGCACAGTCATGCAACAGGCTGACTGTGGTTTGGAGCAGATATGGCCGGAAAGTGATGAATCTGTCTTGGTTTGCTTTGTGTGTGATTCTGAAGATACAAGGGGGTGCAAAGCAGCGTTTGGCCTCCGTGAAAGCTGCAACTGTCTAGTGTTTCTGAAACATCTCTTAGGAGACCTAGATTGGGTAGCCTCTTACCATGCTATTGAAAAGATAAAGGAGGAGAGTTACAGTAAAACTATATTGGAGTCCAAATGCCTGTCTCTCCTACCATTTCTCCCCGAGTCTGTACACAGCCAGCTCCCTTGCACAGGCTGCCAGTGAGCACCTAGCTGAGCGAGGGGCCACAGTACAGAACTAGCCTCGAGGAGAAGCCTTTCTCAGTTTACTTTCTTTCTTTATATTGCCTATAGAAAGAGATCGTAGACAGATGGTGGATAGATAGAGACCCATACAATAAAAACCTGTGCTGCGAGTAATCAATACAGTGTAGTAGACCCGTGAATGCTGCGAGTAATCAATACAGTGTAGTAGACCCATGCTTCGGAGCAGCCCATCTGTCTCGGCAGTAGCATGCAGGCCTCCTTCCCTTTCCTGCCCTGTCTCAGCATTGGAACGCCAGTCCCTTCCACCTACCCAGTGACTGGTGAGCTTCCCACGGACAATGATTTACAGCTCTGCCTGTGAACGGTGGCCTGGGAGGGCGCTGGGGTCCCTGACCCCTGAGAAAACCTGGTTAATGATCTGCGCTCTGGCATCCTGATGTTGACTGTGTACTAGACATTTTCTGCATTTCAGGCAAGTGCTCTTGGTTCAGAAACATTTAGCTAAGAAGGAAATACGCATCTTCCATGATTTGCCCCTACTGTTTTAAGTAACCTGGCAAGGATGCCCCGAGCGGATGTGATAACTTAACGAAGCGTAGTTTCCACTGTCCCTTGCTCACCAAGGGTTACAAAGTACCATGCTTATCAGTTACTACATTTAAGAAAATTAGAAGTCATTTGAATATAAGATGCAACACGGGTTATCAATGTAGCCAGACGCCGGTGGCTCACGCCTGTAATCCTAGCTGTTCAAGAGGCTGAAATCTGAGCATCATGGTTCAAAGCCAGACCAGGGCCAGAAAGTCTGTGAGACTCCCATCTCTCATAAACCACCAGAAAACCGGAAGTGGCACTGTGGCTCAAGTGGTAGAGTGCTCACCTTGAGCTGAAGAGCTGAGGGACAGCACCCAGGCCCAGAGTTCAAGCCCCATGACCAACAACAACAACAAAAAATAATTATCAACTTCTCTCCACCGGGTCGTTGAAGATACTTGAGCCTTGGAAGCAGAGCATGGTTTTAAATCCCAACAGTCTTCACAGAATACACAGGTGGTAGACCAGGAGCCTGTAATAGTGCAGAATGTCAAGTCAGCAAAGATGCATTTGGGATATGTGTGGTATTGGGTGCACCCTCATCAGAGCTGCAGAGGGACCCCAAAATTCCATTACCCCAAATCACCATAGGACAATCAGCGATCACCCGGTGAAGACTGATATTTTTTGTCCTTTGCTTTATTAATTTGGTAATTAGCCAATTTTTACTATGCATCATATGTTTTAAATACATTATTGTTAAGTCTGAAAAATTCAGGTGACTAGCTATCCTCATATCTATCTATTAGATGACAAAACAGCACAGAGAAGCTGCCAAATTCTTCCAAAGCCACACAGCTAATAGGTCTCACAGCTGCATGGCTTGTCAATTCTGGGGCTTCTGACTCCCCACATCGATTCCAAGAGATGATGGGTCACACCTCTTCTGGCTCGGAAGGAAATGAAGGGTGGCTGGGAAAGCAAAGGATCGCTTGCCTATCACAAAATGTTTTAAGGAAGGCGGGATGTCTTCGTTTTTAGTTTAACACTTCGCCAGCCACCTTCAGCGATGTGGAACATGGGCTTGGGTCGTGCACAGGGCACTGCCTGGTGGTGGCTTATGGTCCACTTCAGAGAACTGACAACGGCTTTATCCAGTGTGAAATTCCAGACTTGGCCATTCCTAGGTGAAACCACCAACCTCAAAGGAGCACTTCCTCCTTTAGTCAATAATATTCTGGAATACCAATTCAGTCCTACATGGAAGCTGGCTGCCTCCTCCTCCTCCTCAGCTTCCTCCTCCTCCTCCTCCTTGATGCAGGGCTTGAATTCCAAGCATTTCTCCCTTTCAGTGCTGAGTGATGTCTGGTCCCCAGGAGGTCTACCCCCCACAGCGCTGATGGCTTCACTGATAGTTGACCAAGTTTTCCTCTGCCTTCCCTCCCTGGACAGCAGGAATGCTGTGGCCAGTGCTTAATCTCTGCATGTCTAATCAACCTCTCCCCCACCCCCCTCTACCACGCCTCACCTCAGCCTTTCCTAGATGGCAAGACCTCAGGAATACTTGGCTTGCCTGCCCCACCCTCCAGTGTGCTCAGAATCCCTCAGAACGGCCCAGACCCACACGGTGCTTCGTGTGGTGAGCCCTGAGACAAGACTTCCCCACCCCCAGCATCCCAGTGAGAATCAGACATAGGCTCTGGAAACAACAAGCAGAGCAGACACTTGCTTGTCTGTCACATCTTCCTCTGTGTAACAATTCATCAAAAAAATGTCAAAAAGTGTAAAAATAATAATATAGGTAATTATATTAGAGAGCTGTAAGTGACATAAAATTATCCAACATTTAGTAACAGTTTCAAACTTCAGTAAATTCATTCTGCTATTATATAATCCAACAAAGACATCCCTCATCTCCTCCTCAGCTTCTTTCATTGGTGTTTTGTAATTTTCACTGGGAAACACTGTATAAACACATGTCTACTATTTTGTAGCTATTTTAGTGATACTTTTTTCTTGAATTATCAGAGAATTCACCCTTGTTGCATGACAATGCTATTTTGTATTCTGCAGCCTTGATAACATCTGTATTGCTTTTGGTTGAATCTTTGGGGTTTTCTGTATATAAGATCAGGTCAAATGCAAATATGACCATTTGAGTTATTTTCCAATATCTGGTAAGAGAGGGTAGCCTTGTCTAATTCTAGATCTTAGAGAGAAAGCTTTGGCTTTTCCTTGTTGAGTGTGGGGTTGGCTGGGAGCTTGCCATGTATGGCCTTTATTATGTTAAAGTATATTCCTTCTACAGTAAGTTGTTCAGTGTTTTATCATAAAAGGATGTTAATTTTCATCAGATACCTTTTGTGCAGCTATTGAGATACCTAAGTGATGTTTGTGTTTCATTCTGTTGATGTTTGTTGTTTCATGCTTACTGATTTGTGTGATTGAACCATCTTTGTATATCTGATGATTAATCTTTTTTTTTTGAGGGGGGGTCTGGTGGTGGGGCCTGACTCTGGGCCTAGACGCTGTCCCTCAGCTCTTCAGCTCAAGGCTAGCACTCTACCACTTGAGCCACAGCACCAATTCCGGCTTTTTTTCCTGCTTATGTGGTGCTGAGGAATCGAACCCAGGGCCTCAGGCATGCAAGACAAGTGCTCTACCACTGAGCCACCTTCCCAGCCCTGATTAATCTTTTTATGTGTGTGCCATATTTTTCAAATGTAGACAAAAATAATTAGAAGAATTATTTGGCAAGGATTTTCAGGATTTAAATCCCAGAACTGAATGGTATGATGTCAATGTTGATGAATGGGTTGGATAGCTCTAAAGCTAGCTGGCCTCCTGGCAGGACCTCAGTTTCCACCTTTGCCTATTCGTCCTCTTCCCACTAACAATTGCATTATCAGGCTTTAAGCGTTTATCATTCTAAAAAGTAAAAAGGTTGTCACTCAAATTTGTATCTTTGAGGAATTGTGTGTGTGTCTGTGTGTGTCTGTGTGTGCACATGTGTGCACGCATGCACATGCCAGTCCTGGTGCTTGAACTCAAACCCTGAGTTTGTGTTCAAAACCTGAGTTTCGTGTTCAAAGCCACCAGTCTACCAATTGAGCCACAGCTTCACTTCTGGCTTTTTAGTGGTTAACAGGAGCTAAGAGTTTCACTGACTTCTACCTGGGCTGGCTTCGAACTGTGATCCCCAGATCTCAGCCTCCTGAGCCACTCGTGCCCAGTGTCCTTAAGGAATTTTAAAAGGTCTGTTTTCATCCTGCTTTTCCATACAGGCATTTGATTTTCTCTTTGCCGATTTATCACCAAATGATCCAATACTATGTTGATAATGGTGGTGATAGGGGACAGCCTTAGTTTATTTCAGATCTCAGAGAGAAAGCTTTTGACTTTTCTCCATGCAGTATAAATGATTTATAAAATACGAATGTTTTAGTGTTTTATAAAAGCACTTATTTCCCCTATCCCCCAATGCTTTACTTAGAAAGTTCCCTCTGATGCTCTAAGTCCTTTAATGGTTTCTTCTAGAATAATTTTTATTAAGTTTACTTTTCTGGAAAGTACCACATTCTCTGAATGTTTTTGTATTCATTTCAATAGAAATTTGCAAAATGAGCCATTAGGATACTAATTTTCTCTCTCTGGCACTTTCTACCAAAACCAGCATCTAAGTTTGTGCACGTTTCCTTGAATCACCCACAGTTTCGGGTTGAAACGGAGCTGTGTGCAGGGTATTGCCAGCTGGCGTCCGAGTCAATGCTCTGCTCTGCAGTGTTGTCCACAGGGACACAGGAGAGAGGGCAGAAGCTCTGCATAGGAACCTTCCTGTGTCTCAGCCAGGTGTGTGAGTCCTTCCTGCACATGCTCAGGCTGGCCTGAGCAGCATGTGTATGAGATGGGAGCGGAGGACTGGCCGGGTCTCAGCTGGAGTGTGACTGTGTCTTTTGTTTCCTCTGACTCTTTGCTTTTCCAGTCAGGCATGATAAGGACAGATGAAGCCGACTATCTCCTGAAGCCACTTCCTGCGAGTCTTGCAGGGACACACAGTGGTTGTCCTCCGGCCGGCCCCTGCTCTCCCTCCCACGTGCTGTACAAGAGATCCACAGAGCCCCGGGCTCCCCGGGCTCCCCAGGCCAACGAGATCCTGATGGTCGCCAGGAAGAGAGAGGTGGCAAGCCAAAGCCTCCGTGACGACAGGCCCCCACAAAAGCAGCACTTCTGCGGAAGACGCAAGAAATGTATGTAAGGGCGATTCCTTTGTCTGCTTAGCGATTTGTGTCTTTGTGTGACCAAGGAAAACTTTAATTTTCTTGAAAACATGTCTGCCTGTCACTACTGCTCTCAAGCAGTGATTCAGAGAAGCATTATCTGACGGTTTCCCGTAGACAGCTCCTCACAGAAGATGACTATACAGTGCACTGTTCCTTGGGCAGATTAAATGACACATGTCTCAGAAAGATAGAGTCTACCAGATATTGTCAAAGGAATTCTGGTATTTTTACTGAGTAATTCTATATTTTTGAGGTTTTAGAGTTATAAAAAACCCCATATAGTTTTCCTGCTGAGGTAATTTATCTATATACATATTTATATGCTTCAATCCACCACATCAAGACATCAAAAGGCCAGACGATGCAGGGTATACTTTACCTGACATTTGTCACCCAGATTTGTAGAAATCTTGTTCTTTGTCATGAGCAGGAGGGGCTCGGTCATTTCCATTTTATGTGGAAACTCTTCACCTTCAGTAACCACAGCTTTCTGGAATCTTCTCACCTTCCTACACCCTCACATGGGCCCTTGGAATGTGGGCTTCCCCACACCCATCCTCAAAGGCTGCGGCCTCTTGACTCACCTCCCGAGGCGGACCTGAAGCTATGGCCGCTGTAAACCTTGGCCAATGAAAGGGATGGATGAGAGTTACTTGGCACCTCAGCAGATAAGGACTCTCAGATCCTCAGTGCCCGCAGGGAATCAGAACCCAGGTCATCCTGTAAATAAAACAGAGGCCCTGTGCCACATTCAGATGAATACAGAAAACTCAGTCCCACTTGCTCGGACCTTCTTGGTGGTGCTGGTCCCCCTTGGAGAAGTTTGTTCTCAGAACACTCCTTTCTATCAGACACTCCGGCAAAAAGTGTGTCCTCAGTGCTCACTGAAGTAGCGGTCTGTGGAAAAGCTCCACAGAGACAGGTAGATTTGTTAAAGTTGGTTGACTGAGTCCCAGGCTGATGAAGGCTTCTTCTGCCCCTCAGCTGATGGTGGCACAGGCTGGTACTGACATGCTTTTGTGCTCTGAGCCCCATCCTGACGGTGAGCATCTGCTCTGGAGGGCTTGTGAGAGCCCTGGGTAGTGACAGCGAGAGCTCCTGTCCCCTGTGCCATCACTAGGGCCTGGTGCTGTCCTTCCTTCTTCCGTGTCCTGTCCTCAGCTTGCTCACATTTCTCCATCTGCAGAAAGGAAGTCCAGGGACGCTCAGATCACTCCACCCAGACTTCAGAACCCTTGCCCATGTTTTTAAGGAGGGAGAAAGAGCAGGCTACATCTGTTCTCTCTGCCTGCATGACGCCCCCCCCCCAAGGGGCTGGTGGACTCTCCGTGATGGACACAAAAACAGGCTTGTGGCAGTGAGGATTTTGCGTTTATGGAGAAATTGCCTGAATGTGGATCAAGAGAGCAGATAGCTAGTGCCATTGTGATTCTCCCAGAGGTTCACCCAAGTCAAAGGTGCAAGTTGGGTATTCCTTAGGTGACATACTTCCTACCTGAACTGCTTTATATTTGAATTGTCACCAGTTCTGATAGTTTTCAAGAATTCTATTGAGTAGGAATTTAAATTTTTTTTAATATGAACCTAGTGCGATATATTGGGAACAGGATTCAATGTTAAACTCAAAATCATATACTTCCTACAGACATTACAGGCACTGCCCAAAGGCAGTTTTATATAATGTTGTCAGGGTACTTGTGTTTCAACTAGGGTTTCTTGTAAGAGAGAAAGCGTGGAATTTTTCACTCAGGACTTCAAGTCAGCGCTCAAAGTGATTGGATTCTGGATAGGTTTGGAATTTAGATTTTTGGATTAGAGATACCCCAGCTGTATGAGAAATAAAATACCCTGGCTGTGACTGTCAGTCAGACAAATAGCATCTGCTCAGTGTGATTCATAGGTGATTGGCAGTGTGGGGTTGTGTAGGATTTGCTTTCCCACGCAACAACTCTAAATCATTTTCTCTGGTATCCACTAAGTCTGGTTGCTTTAATGTGATATAAATGGGTTTAAATACAAAAAAAAATCTTACAAAGGAATTACCTCACAAGGGCAGAATGTGCTGTTTTCTAGGTAAGTATGCATGGTACTTTCTGAGAAATGAAATCCTCACTGAGTGTATATGCTGTAAGAAGTTTGTAACACACTGGAAACAATATTGGCAAACCAGCTTTGTGTCCATGCATGGCATCAACTTGAAAAAGAATCACCAAAAGTCTTTAGAAGGGAAAAATGCAAGACAGCACCTTTCCATTTAACTTTTAATCATATTGCTTTGTCGCTATTCTATTGAAGAACCCTGTTCCATAAATCCTGTGTTTGTATATTTGGATATTGTATTTCCAGTTATTAGGACTTACCACGGAAGAGTTTCCTATCTTGTTCTAAATCACAACAAAATAATATTACAGAAAATTGCAGCAATGGTGACCCTGATAACTGCATTATACAACTGTATTTAATGTTTTACATGACAAACTTTTTTAAAAAACATTTTATTGCAAAGGTGATATACAGAGGGGTTACAGTTACACATTTATGGTAATAAGTACATTTCTTTTTTAACTGTATTACCCACTCCCTCATTTCCAAACTTTTTAATTATCTATCTTTGTATCTAATTATCTATCAGCTATGTATTTATCTGGTATAAATCATCTATCTGTACATCTATCTGTGTAGCTGTCCACGTGTCCGTGTATCTATTTACTGCCCTCTATCTTTACATTCATTGTCTATCTGTATCTGTATTTATAAGTATAGATGTAGATACGCAGAGGTATCTGTCTACAGAGAGAGAGATGCAGATAGATCGTCACTGCGCAGCCCACGCTGGCATGTGTCATGGTCCTGTTGCTTCTGCTGTCCTGGAGCTGGGTTTCAGATTGCAGGCACGCGCCACCACCTTGGTTTTGGAGTGATGATATTTTCTTTAATTCGTCCCCTCACAGACATGCCCCAGCCTCCCTCAGAAGACCTGTTCATCTTACCTGACGAGTACCAGCCGGGCCTGAGGCACAAGCGCTCTCCCCTCAAGTCCCCTCAAAAGGACGAGCTGAATGTGGAGACGCTGGTGGTGGTGGACAACAGGATGATGCGGAACCACGGCCATGGGAACATCACCACCTACGTCCTCACCGTGCTCAACATGGTAGGCGGGCCCCGCACCCCACACGCACGCCAGGCTGCGCCACGCCTGCACTCCATCCCGGTGCACCTGTGTCCCTCATGGAAGAAACGTTTCCTGTCTCAACTCTTAGTTTTACTGTGGTCCAATCCAAAGATGTACTCAGAACTTTAGAATAACAAAGGGGGGAAATAATGGGTCTCTGCAATCTGTCCTGTCGGGTGTTTTGAGTTCATGGATAGTGTGTGTGCTAGAACCCTCTAGGAGAAGGTTGAGATGGAGTGCGGTACGTCTGCTCCTTTGTCAGTGTAAGTGATGGGGAGGACCACACAGACACGTCCACCCCTCCCCTCGAGGAGTGCTAAGGCGCAGGTGATCAGTGCTGAAATTGAAAAATATCCTCCCGGATGAAGGCTGTCTTTGGCTGCAGCTGTGGTAATTATTGGGGAGCTGAGAGGACAGATGAGACCCCACTGCCTGGGGCTGCAGTCCAGAGCCCTGCAGATCAAACCCAGCGTCGTCCTAGTAAGAGAGAGACGTACGAGTCAGAGTAGAGGAATGACCGTATTTGTTCGAACGGTCTAAGTTCCACCTCCGTAGGCATGGTGCCCCAGATGTGTCTTTTCCTGAAGCTGCTATATGCCAAAATTGCTTTTGATGGACTGAACCCCAGGGTCCCGGGGGAGTGGGGACGTGGAGCGGCCCTGGGGTGAGGCTTTTGCGCCTCAGGTCTGCGGCTATGCCCGCCTTGACTCTGGGGTTTTGTCCTGTCTCTATTTCTGGGCCAAATGTCGCATTGGTGGCAGTCGCAGTGTCTCAGGTCCTCACCCTGCTCACTCTGGCCAACAGTCCCATGGCTGCACCCGCCCGACCTCTCGATCTCGCTTTCCTTGTGTTTTCTTCCTGTGGCATTCTCTCTTCTTTCTTTCTTGTGTTCACATGGTCTTATTCTAGACTGTCCTCTTGTGCTTGTGGGAATCCTTGCCAGGAGAGCTTGAGCATGCTCCCTAGGTGCATATCACCATTATGAGTTAAAGAATGCTCCCAGTCTGGCCTGGTTACTCAGCCCTAAAATCCCAGCACTTCAGAAACAGGAACAGGAGGATCATGAGTTCAAGGCCAGACTAAGTTAAATAGAGAAACCCTGCTTGGATAAATAGATACATGATAGGTAGGTAAGTGGATGGATGGATGGATGGATGGGTGGATGGATGGATGGATGGATGGATGGATGGATGGATGGATGGATGGGTGGGTGGATAGATAGATGACCCCATCTCCTTCAACTCCCACTAGGACACTGAATAATCAGGTTCTGTAATCAATTGTCTCATTAGTGTTTGATGTCAAGGGAATCCTTCCCACACTTACTTCAGACTTCAGCTTTTACTTCCAAGTAGCCAAAATAAGGCTTCAACAATTGGGAGTCAGGTCTTTGTGACTGCCTGGATATATAAGACAATTAACACCGCTGTCACTGCAAATCGAGGGCTTGGAGTCTTGGTATGACTCTGGCTACCACAGGGCTGATCTGTCTGGAGCTGATGCTGCTTTTCTGTCTGTTTCAGGTGTCCGCCTTGTTCAAGGATGGGACCATAGGAGGAAACATCAACATAGCCATTGTAGGGCTCATTCTTCTAGAAGACGAACAGGTATTCCATTTTTGGAATCAGTTGGTCTTGTTTGTTCCCAGGAAGAATATGTGCAAAGTAATTCTTTCGGCTTTATATGCTCCCTGTGTGTATTTAGATCATTATTGTGTTTTCTCCTTCCTGTAGAGTAGGAAGTGTTCAATATTCTGTACTTAGAAGAAGCTTCTTTCCATCTCTTTCACGTGTGTTTTTTCTTGTCATTCTTTGTGCATGGATAGTAAGGAATACACTTTACCCGCTAGGGGGAAAAATAGAACAGCCACTTTAGCCCGTGGGTTGTGTGGCCCTGCCTTGCTTCTCTCGGCTGCCTCTGACTCCAGAGTTGGACGCAATAGCACTCTCTCCCTTCAGTGCTGGATTTGCATTCTAGCAGCCATCCTGGGAGGCTAAGCAGAGCTCTCTTCCTGCTTTCTAACTGCAGATTAGAGCTTGCAGGTGACATCCCACACCTGGGCCTACACAGGTGCGGCTCGGTTCACAGCGAGCACTGGGCAGCGTTCTTAGTCATACAAGGGTCTGGTTTCTGTTCTCCTTAAGCTGCTCACTGACTCTTCAGGAGAGTGGGTACCGGACCCAAGTTAGGCAACCCGTGTTCTCTCGCCTGTGATGATGCCTTCAGAATTCGCTATGGGTCCCGGTTTCCTTGCTCATCAGGCACGAATTCTTTCAGAGGCACCTGGTCGTGACTCCCGAGATGTAGAGGCTGCCCCTCTTTGCTGTGCAGGGTGGGGTGCAGGCAGCAGGGTGCACACTGGGCTGAATCCAGCCTGACTGGTCAGGGAGGATTCGGCCCCAGCCCCATTGTCTTTTGTGTGTCTGTGAGGTCGGAGCTGCAGGGAGCAGCTGACCGCACAGGGCTTCTCAGGTGACAGGTTAATTATTCCTTGTATTAAAACGTTTTCACCTGGGAATTCATCCAAGCAGCAAAGAACCAGCGAGGTTATCGTTTGATCATACACCTGTGTTAACTTTAATTAATGCAGTTGCTCTGGAAATGGCCTGCTGAGGGGCATCGGCATGTGCCTGGTTAGAGCATTTGACTGTGGGAAAACAAAATCACAATTTAAAGAGAAAATACATTTCAGGACTGAAAGACACAGCAGTGAATTTTTTTGACAAGATGCTATGCTGAAATTGAGGTGTTTAACTTAATGATCTCTGGCCACACTCTGGAAACTATAATGGACTTATAAAAGGGAATTTTTGCTACCCTCCAACTTCTCCATTCCCATGAGTTCACATGGTCTTCACTCTGATGGTTCACTCTTCGCTCAGTGAATACCCTCAGTCTTGTTCCTCTTCGTTGGAGTTCCTCTTCCAGAAATGCAGCATTACAAATCCACCTATTGCTTCACAGGAACACGCTGCAGCTACAAGAAAGTTGCTAATGCTGCATTAAGAAATATTAGAAGAGGGATCACTTGGGCCCTTGCTCAGTTTGGTTCTCATGTGAACGGATCACTGGCTAGGTGTGTTATGTGTGTGCATGCACAAAGCCACACAGACATTGCTTTGTCACTTTGTATCCTTGAGTAAGGTCTGTTGCACGCTACCGAATGCCAATAATTCATGTGTTTATCTTCTACTTCATGAGTCATTAAGTATGCACTCACAATAGTAGTCGGATACATTCTGATTGACTCTGTACAGAAAAGTTCACAAACTAAATTGAGCCCAGACAGGTTTATTTATTTCCCTTATTTTTAAAAATTATCCTTAAGTAATTGTACAAAGAGGCTTCCATTCAACCTGTCAGCTTTTGAGTAGCTGCATCTTGATCAGTGCCAGCCATTTCATCATCCCCCAGCCCTCCCAAGCCCGCCCGCCCTCTCCACCTACCTAGTTCCATTTTCACGTATGCATGTTTATTATCATAAGCACAGGTTTATGTACCACACCCACCTTTGAATTTTACTCCCTGAAACCCATGTATTAGTTTATGCACCTGTCTAGGTACAGATGCACCTATGTACTTGAAATCAAAGTTTATGAGGCACAACCTTACAACATGTTTTCTCTCCATGTTCTTTGGGCTTTGCCTTTCCCATACAGCCAGGACTGGTGATAAGTCACCATGCAGACCGCACTTTAAGTAGTTTCTGCCAGTGGCAATCTGGACTCATGGGAAAAGATGGAACTCGCCACGATCACGCCATCTTACTGACCGGTTTGGATATATGTTCATGGAAGAATGAGCCCTGTGACACGTTGGGTAAGGTTCTCTAGTGGTGTAGTGTGATGGATGGTGCATAGGGTTTGCAGGTGTGTGCATGGGGCACGTGTGCATGTGCGTGCATGCAAGTGTGCATGTGTGTGTGCTTGGAGAGTGGCATGAGAGTATAGTATACTGAGTATTTTGTTCTGTTCCATATCCCTAACCAGTAGTTTCTACTAAGTACATTTGTAAGAAATAGTCTCGCTTTCTACACAAACTTTATCTAAATATAAAAGTATGCTTTTATTCATGGGGAATATTTATGGAGCCAGGCACTGGTGGCTCAAGTCTGTGGTCTTAGCTACTTACAAGGCAGGATTGATAGTTCCTATCTCCAATTAACCACCAGAAAACCAGAAGTGGTGCTGTGGTTCAAAGTGGAAGTGTGCTAGCCTTGAGAAAAAGGGTACAGGGACAGTGCCCCAGCCCTGAGTTCAAGCCCCATGACAGACAAAAAAAAAAAAAAAGAATAGCTATGGAACAAAAAGTTCCTCATAGAGTCAAGATTTTCTTTCTCATTGGCAATAGGAAATATTTCCATTCATTTCTCCTACCATTTGTCAGATGCCACACAAAAATGTGACACAAATACTCCATTTACAGATATTGGTAGATATACTGCAATAATATTATATTCCTGCTGGGCGCTGGTGGCTCATGCCTGTAATCCTAGCTACTCAGGAGGCTGAGATCTGAGGATCCCGGTTCAAAGCCAGCCTGGGCAGGAAAGTCTGTGAGACTCTTATCTCCAATAAACCCCTCAAAAACCGGAAGTGGCGCTGTGGCTCAAGCAGTAGAGCGCTTGCCTTTAGCTGAAGAGCACAGGGACAGCACCCAAGCCCAGAGTTCAAGCCCTACGACTGACCAAAAAAAAAAAAAAATATATATATATATATATATATATATATATATATATATATATATTACCCTTTTCTCTGTAACTTTCTCAGTATTCATCATGAAGCCATATTTTGGTGTTTCAGGGCAGCACTTCGATATTCTTCCAAATGGCTATTGTAATAACCATTGTGCTTCTCATTGGGACCCCGAAGGACACTCTATTTTTTTCTGCAAATTATCTGAGAGGAAGACGTCTTATTACAAACACTTTTAGATAATACCTAATCTCATAGAGGTTGGTTCTGTTTTTCAGGACCGAGATTGCATAGCGGCCTCATTCCTGTCCTTAAAGAGGACTGGGGACTAGATCAGACTTCTGCTGGCCTCAGGAGACTGGGATTTAAGGGTAGTTCTCAGGGGACTAGATCAGGCCTCCGCTGGCCTCAGGAGACTGGGATTTAAGGGTAGTTCTCGGGACTTTAACTGATCACAGTGGCACCTGTGCCTACACTGCTCAAATAAAATGGCTCTTGCTTCGCACCTGACTTCCTTCTGGAATGTGGAAGGGTGTGTGTGGTGGACCAGACCTCAAAATCCCTGCACCCCAAATTCCAGACACCCCAGGGAGACAAGTCATGTGCTCTCCTATCCCATTTCTGAGGCTGTGGGCATGCCAGCGCTGCTCACATCTGGTCTCTCCAGACTCCATGTGCCTTTATGCATGGCTGGCTTTGCTCTGTACCCTTTCAGCACAGTAAATCATATCTGTGAACATGACAAATCCTCATCATGACAAGTGTGAATTGAGACAGTCTTGGGGAGCTCTCCACCCACCCATTCTCTACAGACTCTTCCTCTGGGGCAGGAGAGGACATGATCATAGAAGGAAGATGTTACCCATCATGTTCAGTGCGTGTCCTGTTGGGTCAGGACCCTCGCCCAGAATCATGAATCCCCTTCCTACATGGGTCCCCCTCCCACACCATCTGGTGCATCCTACCACGGCATAGCTCATATTTTGTTTTTATTTTCCAGGACAGAAAATAAGCTTGCTATGATTTATGTTGTTATATTGTTCTATATTCTTTTAATGTTAATGTCGCACAGGATTTGCACCTATCAGTGGGATGTGTAGTAAATACCGCAGCTGTACCATTAACGAAGACACGGGGCTGGGACTGGCCTTCACCATCGCCCACGAATCTGGCCATAAGTAAGTCCATCCCCAGGTGGGGGCGGGGCAGGTGGAGCCTGGGGCTCTTGTCTTTTGGACATATTCCAAAGCCATCCCAGGGTGCAAACTTACCCTTCCCTCCCTCCCAAGGTTCCCTCCCATTGCTCTTCACATCTAGGGCGGGGAATGGTTCTTTCTGTTTCTGCTCCTCTGTCATGTGACTGACCTGTTGATCATTCTCGTTCTCCAAATGGTTGAGGACAGACAGTAGCCAGCCATCGGGTATGAGTGGTTATGGGAATTGAGTTTATGTCCACGTGCGTGTCTGTGTGTGTGTGTGTGTGTGTGTGTGTGTGTGTCCATGTGTGTGTGATTTATAGAGGAACTGCTCTTGACAGGTAGGAGAGCATAGTTAGAGAACGTGTATACTGACTGAAGATGGCCTCATAGGGCTTTTCCATCTTCTGCCTCTGATTTCATCGTGGCTGATCATCAAAGGAGGCAGCATCAAGCTGAGCCTCCAGCCCAGAGGCTCAGCTGGAGGGGCAAGTGCTAGGCCCCAGCCTGCCCGCTCCACTGGAACGCCCCATCCCCCAGGAACCCAGGTCCCAGCAAGGAGGCGAAGTCACTGGCATCCTCTCCGTATAAGACAACGTCTGCATTCATACTTGTCATTAGATAAGAGCTCATAGGCCAGTGGATCCCTGTACCACCTTGCCTGGAGTCATTGAATATTAAAATAAACACGAAGGTCTTGCTGCTGCCCCAGCAGGCCTGGCCTCTCTGCAGGAGTCCAGATGACCACAAAGGCCAGCAGTCGTGATGAAAGTGATTTCCGGTCTGTTGGTCCTGGACTTGAAATCCAATTCTTTCTGTCTCTGTTTTACTCTCAATACAGTTTAGCTGGCAATAGGAATTTAAAATTCCTTTAAATGATTTGTTTTGAAAAACCAGTTTCACCGTCCTTCATGGGAAAAGGGATAGTGGTCACAGACTGAAGTCACCTTGTCCGTTTCCAGGTATTACTCTCCATGTGTGTATGTGTGTGTGTGTGTGTGTGTGTACAAACACATGCATGCACCGCGAGTCTGTGTGCATGCAGATGTGTGCCTGCGTGAGCCTTTACTCTGAAGTCTCGTGGAGGCCCAGGAGGCTTGGGCCTCCCGGTAATGGACTGTGAACCCAGTACTGATCCTTGTAGATAATGATTGACTACTTCATTGCTCAGAAAATTGTACATACACTTTACAAGGCTTTCAACTAAATCAAAATTGTATTCTTAATAGTGTGCTACATTTAAACTTCAAAAACTTTCATTATTGTAATGACACGAAGCTCTTGGTGTCCTCTGAACCATACCTGAATTTAATTAAACAATCAAGTCAAGAACTGTTTAAGGCACCAAATGCCCCTGTCAGCATTTGATAAGCCATTGAGATATGGCTGTCATGCTAACCTTTGCAGGCAGGAAACACAACCAAAGACAAACTCCAGATAGCCCAAACTAGCTTTGCATTTATTCAGAAGCCAGTTACTAATATTGCCTTTCCTCATTCACACTGGGCTTATTGTAAAAGAATTTCCTCCAAACAAGGGGGAAGTACTTTCATTTGAAAGTAGGAATGTATATGACGTTAATCCAGGAGCTGCCTGTCCCGACAGTGAGTGCCCTTTGTTAGCAGATTTGACCTCTAGATAGTACAGGGTCCTTCCTGAACCCCATGTGTAGAGGGTGCTGTGCAAGAGACAGAGAGCTGAGGCGCTGAGGAGACCACGTGCACGTGGTCGCCCGGGTCACACGGGAGCACAGGGGGCGTCTGCACGCTCCACCGGGTTCCCGGAGGAGCACCAGTGACCACAGCTGTACTTGTTTGTTACAAACTACTTTTAGAAAAGTTTCTGGAACTCAAACTCGGAGAAGCCTACACCTAGCCCGAGCCCTTAGGCTGCTTTTCCTGAGCGACGGGCCACGTGCACTGCCAGTGTATGAGAATGAGCAGCCGGAGCAATGAGCAGCAAGCAAAGTAAAATTTTCGAGTTCTGATTCTTAGGAATGAAAAAGTCCTTTAAGCTCCCATCTGTTAGGACTTTTATTATGAAAATCACTAGAGATCCTGCTTCAAAGGCAGATTGTTACTCCTGGCCCCGACGGAGGAGCATCTGCCACACCGGGAAGTACAGACTCCTGACCTTCAACTCAAGGACATTTCAGTTCCTTCAACTACATTTAACTATTTTCATTTTAAACATCTTGTATTTTATTCTGGGTAATCTGGCTGAAAAGCAGAAGACAGTGTCAAGGACAGGGCTGGGATGGGTGTTGGAATGGTGATCGGGCTGGAGCTAGAATTCAGGTGTGTATTCTCCACAATGCACAGGCACAGGCAGGCTGCGACTGCACCAGTCATCCAAGGAAATCCCCATACACAGAATGCATTTGCTAGATGTAGGATTTGAAGAATTGGCACAGATACACCAAGGACTGAGATGCACACACTCTGTGTGTGTGTGTGTGTGTGTGTGTGTGTGTGTGTGTGTGTACCACTTCCAGGGCTTGAACTCAGGGCCTGGACTTTTGTGCTCAAGGCTGATGCCCTTCCACTTGAGCTGTAGCTCTGCTTCCAGTTGGAAATAAGAGCCTCACAGACCTTCCTGCCAGGCTGGCTTTGAGCCAGGATCCTCAGATATGAGTAAGTAGGATTATAGGGTGAGCCACCAGTGTTCCACTGAGCTGCACCTTTGGGAGACTGTCATTGGGTGAGAAGTCAATGGAAAGTTCTGATCTGCTCTGGGAAGCCAGGCCTTGCGCTAGGCAGAGCCCTGGGGCTCAGACAGCAGACACAGCCCAGCACTCCTGTGCCCGACAGCCAGCAGGGAGCATCACGTACCGGCTATCACCTGGGTTCCTCATCTGTCCAGCCACAGGGCACAGCCAGCACTACGTGCAGGTGCGAAGGTTATCATTTCAGAACAGCAGTCTCTGTCCGAACATCTGCCTGTGCTTCAGCTATTCCTGACTTACCCTTACAACCCTTATCTTCCCCTGAGTTGGTTGACTTATTCACTTTCTGCCTGCCAGGGGCTCTGTAGGGTTTTATAAAAAGATCCATGCTCTTCAGACAGGGTCAGATAAAGCAGGTGGAGCATTGTAAGACACTGCCCAGGGACTAGGGAGGTTTTCAAAGAAGCAGGTGGACACCTCAACCTGCGAGGTGACAGCTCCACTCCACTCACGTGGATTTCCAGATGACGTGGGATGCTGACCCAGTGTTTGCAGTCCCCCAGCGCAGGCTTTGCTCTGTCCTCAGTCTGGATACTTCCGCCAGGGGGAGCAGGCACTCAGGGACCTTGACTATGAGAGCAAGCTCTCTGGACCTCTGTCCGGGCTGCTTCTGTCACTGTCCTCCAGGGATCCTGGGCTCACACCATCAGATCTCCATATGTATCTATTTTCCTTCCTCTCAAGAGTGTTTGTTTCCGTGTTGAAAAGTATTAGAGCTTGCTTCCGGCCAGCCCTTCCCCTACACCAGCCACACACAAGCACACCCATGTGTGAATGAGTTCTGCTTGCTGGCTGATGTGATCATGATCATATTTCCATCAAGGAAAGAGATACTCTGAATTTTCCTTTATGAACTTACACAGCCAAGTTGTGTTATTTTTTGTACAGTTTCTTGAGAGGCTTTTATTATTCATCTCCCTTTTTTCATGAGGACGCTGAGGCTGAGTAGCTTGAACAGTTCAGCCAAGATCAAACAGCTCTTGAGTGGCACAGCCATCTCCGCAGCCCCTGCTGTCTCCTGCCAACTTCTCCTGGCGGCCCCCTGACTCCCGCCTTACCCGTGACTCCATCTTAGCATCCATCTGAGGTGGCCGTTTAGCCATGGCTCCCAGGAAGCCTGCCGCAGGCTCTGGGCATCTCTTCCTACCTGAGGTCACCAACATTACCCCAGGTATCCAGGTGATATCGGTCCATTGCTCCTTGAAAGGGAATCTAATTTCCTTCACCACAGAGAACATCCTGAAATAATCCATGTGTATTCTAAAACCGCTTGCCAGTTCCTGACTTGGTATGTTACTAGTGATGAGTTAAAAAAATGTTCTCTGGGGGCGGGGAAGGTGGCTCAGTGGTAGAGCACTTGCCTTGCATGCCTGAGGCCCTGGGTTCGATTCCTCAGCACCACATAAGCAAAAAAGAAAAAAGCCGGAAGT